CATTTGTGGGTAAACGCATTAAAAGATTATTTGGCGGGACCAGAAATATGTCTTACATTAATTCCTTCTTTAAATAGTAAAGGCTCATTTGCTGACAAAAGATAAGGAGACTACAACCCACACCCGTGTGTGTCCTTTTTTCTAGGCGATACTATGTTATCTAGGATAGCTGTTTTGGAAAGGGGGATGGGTGACACACTTCAGTACATGTTTACAAAAAAAAGGAAAAAAGGAACCAAGGTAAACTTTACAATTTTTTTTTAAATACTCTTTAGATGTCTAATTGATTTGCTTTGGTTTCAGTGGGACTTCTAAAAGGGCAGTTGAGGAAAGAGCATTAATAATTCAATGATGTCTGCACAATCCTTAAACTGAAAAAATGCATTCCCCACAGTTCGTTAAATTAGGTCTTTTTATTATTATCTGAGCACCCTATCTCAGAAAATATGGTAGTGGATGCAGTATAAAAACTCAGAGATTAGAACTGTATAAGAACAACTGCAATCTATGCAATATTGGAAGGGTTCCTGTCATAGCTTTTATGTCCCATGTTTTAATGGTGCGTGGACACTTGCCACTTCCATCTGCAAGCTCATAGACTACATCCTTTCCCAGTGAATCTAGTAACATTTATGCGGTTACCACAATTATTTTTATGGAGAGAGTGCATTGAGATTGGATATACTTGATTAACTTCCTTAAATGTAGTTTAGCAACTGAAAAGCTAACACTTTGTGACATATATCACTTCTTTGCAGGCCATCAATGATATTTTGGCCATAGACTGAGTGCATCTCAGAATAATAGCTTTTAATCCCAGCAGTCTTTCCTGCCCAAGTGCAGGGGGGATGGGCCCGATGGTCTGTAAGGTCCCTTCGAGCCCCAACAACTATGAAACTGTGAATGACACTAATGGGTTTGGAGGAGAAGGGACAGACGGCATGAGCATGGTTTTAATTGAATAAAACCAGCCTCTGTACTTGGCTAGTTAAAAGATCTTTGTCTGCTTGAGTGATCAGCTGTTCTGATATCAAGTTGCTTAATAAGTTTATTAGCGTGCAGCTAAATTCAGGCAATGGCTAACTTAAACTGTTTTTATATGTTTGAAAATAAACTGCATCTAACCTTTCCATAGGTTTCTAAGAGCATGTAATTAAATAAGCATGGAACTCCGGTCTTTGTCTTTGATGCCTCTTATTTTATAATTCTGTTGATTTGAAAGATGTTATTGTAAAGGTTCTTTAATTTTTATAATTAGCATTTGAAGTGCATAAATCCAAATATGTTGTTTAACATACTCCAAGTAATTCAAATTAAATAAATTTGCATTTCAGCTGGGGGGATATTTGTGGGTGTGTGGGTTTTTTTTGATGAATATAGTAACATATTTCCACTCTTGAAGGTTTTCAGATGTGATCCTGGCAACAATTTTGGCTACAAAATCAGACATGTGTGGCAAAAAATTTGAGCTGAAGATTGATAATGTTCGTTTTGTTGGCCATCCGACCTTGCTGCAGCATGCCCTGGGACAGGTATGGTAAGAAAGCTGCTGAAGTGTACAGTGAAGAATAGCTTTTTTCCTAGAACTGCTGTGGACAGAGCAGCAGCAACCTAATTTAAGAAATTTAGAACCTAAATTGTGCAGTTTTACTTTGATACATTTTTAAAACTATAGTGTTAGAAGTTTTTTTCTCAATTATTTCATAATGTTAATAAATTTTTATATTGAATGCTTATCCTCAGTTATGTTTGTACTTGAAATTTTACTGAAGTAACCCCCATCACTGGTTCAAAGATAATTGCAGTGTAACCAGTGATAGTACTAAATTGGTTGTGAAGGCTCATATTTTTGGAGCTGTTTCAAAAGGAGAATGTTTCAAAGTTCAGCTGCTGCTAGATTCTAATTGTTATGTGTGAACAAGCTGGGAACAGCACACTTTGGAAAAACTGATCCAATTTAAAGGTTGGATGAAGCAGCATTAGGTTTGAAGTGGTTTTGCTACATTTGTATCACTTCCACTTTGCCACATGTAAAAATTAGAACATAACAGTTGCTGTCTTTCTGAAATGGCCCCAAATGTGTCCGTACCCATAGAAACTTGTATAGACAAGTTTTCTGTATCAGAGTTTATCACAGTGTCAATTAAATTTCCTTTTTAGCAGGTGTAAGTCACAGCATGATAAAGATGTTGGAAGCTATCTTTACTTTTTCTACCTTTTCAGGGTCACCAGTGCTAGGGTTGTTTCAGAAAGATCTGTGTTCAAGTCGTGGATTTTCTTTGTAGACGAGGCCATTTAAATATTTCTAAGCTGAGACTTCAATTTGTAAATGCTGTATGTTGGAGTGGAGTGGGTTTTCAGGGTCTGAGAGTGAAAGAATTGCCAAGTAAACAAAAAAATGTCTGAGAGTGGGGAGCTTTCTACCTTCCAGCTGCACTTGCCCAGGGCTGCTGATGTGGCTGTCAACTAGTAATCATGTGCTTTGGGGTTTGAGGATTTTTTTTCATCATTCCCAGAATCATGTAGTCTACCATGCACATTTGTCCTAGCAGGTCATAGATTTGGGGAATGAGGCATAACTTTCCTCAAAACCCAATCATTCAATTGCTTTCATGTCTTCCAGCAGCCCACAAGAAGTACACTAAGGTTCTTTAACGGTTCCTGATCAGGTAGATCCTGGCTGCTTATGGCTGTGCCCTTGACTTTACCCATCTCTGTATTGTCATTCTGTCTCAAAACATTCCCTATGGTTTGAGTGGGAAAAGGCACCTCCCTTATTCTACCCTGGACAAGGGGTGTTACAAAGTCTTATGTAGTTCCCATTTGAGATCAGTGGTAGTACTTCTTTTGACTTGAATAGGGACAGAATTGCTTGTTAAGCCCTTTAAAAAGGTACTTAGGAAAGTGCAACAAGCGTATGGAATCTTTTTTACTACTGGAGACCAAATAGGCTTGTTGAAACTTCAGAGCTTGGTGTTGCCCTCTCATGTCATTAATCCAAATACCAATGAGTCTGTAGAAAACAAGTTTCCCTTATTCTTTTCAGTTTCTGGTGTGTGTGGGGGGGGAGTTGTTCTTTTAAGAACACTGTTAAATGGTCCTGTTCATTGTTTGGGGGTGCAGCATCAACTGAGGACTCTTGGCACCTGTCAAGATTATGTTCTAGTTCAGTGTGTAGTTTGTGGGATACTTAGGGTGTGGTTACATGTAATAAAGGCACTTAAAATGCAAGCATTCATGCATTACAGAAGGATATGGCTCCTTTCCCATCCATATGACTGAGTTCTTTGTGGTTAAGTTGTGGTTCAGTCTATACTAAGAAAACATCTTTCAGTCTCCAGGTAGCAAGAGGGAACTGCTAATTAGCACTTTTGTCTCCAGTTCTGTCACTGCTCCCCCACCCCACCAGCACAGCTTGATCCCAGGCATCTAGGCTCCTGGCTATGTCTCTGCTTGCCAGCCCTCTAGTGGCAAGTCAGAGCTGTGGAGTTCAGCAGTGGTGTGAAGCCAGGGGCAGACAATTATATCGGGTGGAGGACCGCTTACTGAGCTTTGGCAAGCCATAGAGAGCCGCATGACAGGCAGCCAGGGGCAGATATATATTAATTTTCTACATTTTTTAGGGACCCTGTGGGCCAGCTAGAATGGCCTGACAAGGCCGCATTTTGCCCACCCCTATATTAAGCCTCAATGTGGGGCTGTTTAGAGCACATTCTAATTTTAATGCCTCTTAAAATTTCATAGATTCAGTACTTGATAATTGTAACATGTAACAACACTAGTAGACATGTCACTTGGATCTCCTACTCCATCTTGTGGTGACACTTAGTGGAACAATGGAAATTCAACTGCTACTAAGAGTGAATTTTATTTGTAGGGGTTTTTTTTCTGTACCCCTTCTCTCACCTTAAAATGGCAGTTCAGTAAAGGCCACCTTGAAGCTGTTTGTTAAAAAGAATAGATTTTCTACAAATTAGCTGGTGTACAAATAAGAATCTCCTCTAAAGGAATAAATGTATAGGGCACTTAACAGTAAAGTGCAATGGAAAATTAATCTAAATAAGAGCAGTTCTGTTAAATGGTATAAATTTCCATGTACTAAGGGAAAAAAAATAGTTTTCTGAAGCAGATGGGCTCTCTCCAGAATTCCTCAAAAACATGATTTTGTGATATAAGCATATTGATTTAATAAGTTTCTGGTAAGTAAATGGAGAAAACTGAGTAAGTCCATTAAAAATACTAATTCTGAGTTTATGGGTTGAGGTTTGATGGTACATGTTCATCTCATCCTAATTAATAGCATCTGTGGTAATTTGATGCGGTCAGCCTTTATTTTCAGTCCAGTGTTCAAATGCAGTGATCTTTGCTTCTTTATCTGTTTGTTTTTTAAATATTGTGCAGGTATCTAAAACTGACCCCTCACCAAAGAGAGAGATGCCTACCATGATTCTCTTCAATGTTGTATTTGCCTTAAGGGTAAGCATAGTCCATCCTAGCTCATTAAAGAATGGATTTTATACCCATGTTTCTTGTTTTAAAATACTTATATTTCAGATACCAGTAATATTTCAATGAAACATATTCACAGTCTTCTTTTATTAAAATACAAATGTCATTAATTTGAAATTGTATAAAAATAAATGCAAAAACACTATCAAATGTGACATTTAAGCTACATAATTAAAATCTGTAAAATCACGCAGTCATAGAAATTGAGACTGAAAATTTATTTCAGCGTTTTGGGTCCATTGCGTGGGGTGAGTGCATGATTGTTCCCTGCAGGGTATTTTCTTGAGCTTCTTAATTGCCTCAAGTGATGAAAGCCTCTTTCTCTCCTGTTTTTTTTCCATAGGCAATTTTTTTTCAGAAGGATTTTTTTGATAGCTCATATGTTCATCATCTCATTCTGAGTTATTTCTCATAATACAGTAGCTGGTAATTCCTTTCTTTTACTGGTGTTTGCACAGTTTTAAATATTGGTGTGTTTCCATCGTTTTGTCCCCTTCTCTCCACATGCGGTCACTAAGGATTTTTTTTGTGTTTTTTTGGTATTTAGCCCTTCTAATCAGTCCCTCTATACCCTTCCTCAAGTTTTTATTGTCTTGCAAGTAAATGAAAAGGGTTATTTCCTACTGAAAGGGTTATTTGAATGGGATGCATAACCTGTGTACTTTAAGGTATGCATTACCTTAAATGGATTCCTGCAGACCCCTATGTAATCAAAAGCGTAAGAACAGAGAAGACTATTTGCATGCTACAAAACCAATGTAACAATTCGGTGCTTGAGAATGAAAACTAAGTAGCTCTTGACCATTGTTTAAAAGAATAAATGCAGATACTACTCCTGGAGGCTCAGACATTTTTATTTTAAGGAAGGAACTGCTGGCTCTGTGAAATGTGGAATAATGCATGTATTATTTGATAGGTGTGTTGGTGGTTCTTGTTACTATATCTGGATCTCTACATTATTAAAGTTGCATCAAGTATGTGTGTGCTTGAAGATCCACGGAGGTACCTTTTTAAGTTAGTAAGGCTGTACGTTGGGGATCCATTTGCTAGCAGGACAGTAGAGCCCTAGAGTAACTGTGGGGCTATGATGCTTCTTTAAACGTCTTCCCCACAGATTAGACTGATTGGGCATTTGTACAAACATGAGAACTAATGATAGCCCACTGAAAAGTAAACTTTGTTAGGAAGATGAAAGAGTAAGGTAGCTGTAGGCCTGGCCCTGGAATGGGAGGGCTCCATTTTTGTATGTCGGGATTAGTTCTCCAGGAGTTTGTGGTCTGTTTGAATTGAGGACACTTCCACCTAAGCTCGTTATGTCCATTTCAGACATTCATGATTGAATGTTCAGCTCTTTTCCTAAGTGCAACTTTGTGCATGTTCTTCCTCTAACTATTTTCAGGAACTCAGTAGTTTAGTTTTTTGTGTTTGAAATAAATAATCAAGAGGAGGTGTGGCTGTTATGTTTCCGTTTGCTCAAAAATGGCAGAAGAGATTGCCTTCAAAGTAGAAATAATAAGAGAAAACATCAGGAAGAGCAAGACTGGGACAATTTCAGCTCAAGTTAATGCCTTTTGAGAATTTAGGAGTGAGTGAAAATGGAGGTATAAGAGTTGTTTTGTATTCTTAATTGTAGCAATCATTGAGTCACTCAAATAATGAAGCAAAAATTTCCTGATGTGTTCATTTGCAGTGACTAATACATGGTAATGAAAAAAGAGACTTAGAAACAAAGATTTTAATACTTATACCTCAAGAATGAAATTACTATCTTCAGTCTCAGGTTTTTGGGGAAAGTGGAAGTTGAAAATCTCCTTTCCTTTTTTAGCTCAATATTCTGATTCTGATCTGGTCCAAGTTGTATATCTTTTTTTCCTGGATCAGAAGCTCGTGGTTTGATCTGTAGATGGCTTTTTGCTGAAAATGGTATTTGGCTGGGTGTCCCTACATGTTCTTGTCCTTCCCTTTTCATTCAGATGAAGTCCCAGGTATGCTGAAATAAAGATCTGAGAGTTTTGCAGAAAAAATAAATATTAATTTTCCTTACAAGCCTTCCTGAAGTGATGCATCAGAACAATATTGTTTTAAGTTTGAGTCATACTTCAGGTTTTTTTGAGTCAGTCTCCTTTGTTGCCCACATGTAGAGTTTATTCCTACTTATTCCCATGTATTTATTTATTGAAGTTTTAAAAGGAAAATCTTTCAAATAATGTAGAACATAGGGTAGGGTGATACCTTAGACTTGAAGGGAGGGCCATAAGCTTTCCTAGGCAATAATCTACTTTGTCAGATACTATGAAATAGTATGGTTTTCTAATAGTGTGAGCAAGAGCAGGGGAAGGCACTACCCAGCACCTGGGCATAGAATTTGAACCATTTTTGTACCTTTTTTACCCTTTTTTCTTGTACCTAGTTATATAATAGGGTCTGCATACCCCATACACATATATTAGAGAATCCTGGCTCAACCAGCTGAAATGTAAAAACTGCCATATGCAGGCCCAGTTTTGGATTTCCCATCTCTGGGTTTTTCTTCCTAGCCCAGAGACTAATTCCATAGCATTAATAATGCAAATCGAGCATGGCATTTAAATAATATATATTCAGTTTTTGATCACTCTGTGGACTTTGTGATGTACTTTGTCATCTTTTTTTAGTATCACTACGATCCATTTACCAAAATGACATTTTCTATTTTATAGACAGCTGTGAAGTCTGTGGGAATATGTTCAGCAAATTGAATTTTTCTCCATGCTGTAGCTTATTGCTGCAAACCTCTCCATGCTGTGGGTGGGGATACTTTAAGATAACAGGCCATCTGCAGCAGACAGACACAGCAGGCAAAGACGCAAATGTAATCAGCAGTGATCCTGCTGTGCTTGAGTTACAGTACATCAACATACTTTGACTCAGCAAAATGCTGGAGTTCAGAAATGCTGATTCACAGTTTGCTAGTTCAGATGCCAAGTTATCTGTTGGCTGAACCTTCCAGTCCTTTAAATGTCTTAACAGACATACAGCAGCTTACTGCTGCACCCTTGCTGACTTGAAGCAAATGAGCCCCACCTTATCAGCTGCATGGAATTGATAGGTTTCCTAACTTTTTATTTTAGGGCTTTATAAAAATGAAATATTTTTAATATATAGTGTTTGTGAGGTGTGAAAAACCAGTTCCATTTTCTCTTGGGTTAAAAGTGGGATAATGTTTTCTAGGTCTTTAATAGTTAGCATTTGTCATACTAGTGACTAAAATACTAATCTGCCACATGGAGAGAATGATTTGTGGCTAAGTGCCTACCTTCCTTGTCCTTCCAGTGCTTTTGTATTTGAATGTATTGATGTTCTTCTGATTTCTCAGTAGCGTGAAGTTTAAATTACTTCTAAAAACTTAAATTACTGAAGGTGTGTTCTATAGCTGATCTAACTTAGTAAGAGAGTTGATAACAGTTAGGTGAATAAAATACTGAAATGGGTAATTATTTCTTTAGTTTTCTTCATTTTTTGAATTATACACATTTGGAACTTCTGTGTCATATTTTTCATGACTCTTTGGCCTAGTAATATTTATTGGACTTGCTGTTGTTTTTGGTCTCTGTACTTCTGCTAAACTGCTAAATAATTCAAGAGAAATCTCCTTTCTCTTAACACCCAGTTTGAAGGTCAGTCTCCCTGGTAACTGTTAAAGGTAATTTATTTGACTGTTTATCTGGAGACATATTAGTCTACTTTTCATATATTTTAGAGAGTATAGACAGATATGGCCATTGTTTCACTGTCAGAGAATACTAATTCAAGCTGTTAAAATGCACTTCTTTCATCTGCATAATCCTGTAATTGTACAGGTGTAACAAAACTAATCCAGCTTTAACCCTGCTTAGCTCAGAATCTGAGCTGGTGCAGTTTAACTAACTTGTAATGCTACAGGATTAAATAGACATAAGAATTAAATCATAACAGGTGTCCCCCTTCCCTTTCAAAGTGGCTAAAATGTACATTTATCCATACCCAAAATTGCTGAAAAACTGACCAGCTGTTTCTATATTGCATATAGGCCAATGCAGACCCATCTGTGATAAACTGCTTACATAATCTCTCCCGTCGAATTGCCATAGTTCTACAGCACGAGGAACGTCGTTGCCAGTACCTGACCAGAGAGGCCAAGCTGATCTTAGCCATTCAAGATGAAGTATCTGCCATGTCAGAAAGTGAGTTCTGAGCTCAGCTTATTTTACTGAAAGAAAATGTCATAGATCCTCATAAATTAAAACAGTCTGAGAATTTTAATTTTGTACATACTTCTCGTAGCAGCAAGGCAGTAACAGAAATGAAGATGACAGGTAACACAGTGACCTAGTGAACTGACCTTTAGTTTTTGGAGTCTTGAATTACCATCCCATTGGGAGGGATCTTGGACAAAATTGGTTTTTCATCTTAGCCCAGTGTTTCAGGCTGGCTGTCTCGTGGGGCCAGGAAGGAATGTTTTCCCCCCTCTTGTGAATGTTTTATTGGCTTCTGGACTTTTTCCCTCATTTCTCTCAAGCTTTGATAATTGGCTGTGCTTGAGGTAGGAGGTTTGACTAGGGCATCCTGACAGTCCTTAGAAACCTTTTGGGTTACCTTGTTTAGAGGGTTTTGCTCTTCCCCTCAGGTTCAAATCAATTGCCAAATTAAGGTCAGGAAATTCATTTTTCCCCTGGGTCAGATTTGCAAGGACTATGAGTTTTTCCCTTTTTCGTTAGTGTGAGCATTTTTACCTTCCTAGCATCGTCTGAGCATATTTAATCTAATGTGCTGGGAAGTAGCTCTGGGCTGAAGAATTGCTGCCATTGCAGGAGGACTGTCTTGATCACCTGAATGGAGTGAGAAGGACCAAGTCAGCCAGAAGACCCTAAAAAAGCGAGGGAGCCTCCTTGGGCAGGTGCCTAGGCATGTTTTGACAAAGGACAACTCTCAAGGGTGCACTTCGTTAGGGATTGAGGCATGGGTCTTTCTGTTACTTCCTTGTTGTAGTTCTTTTGGATTCGGTGCTGTGCTTGTTTTGGGGTGGGGAGGAGGAGGGGAAAGCAATGTGCTTTTTGGAATAGCCACAGCCTCTCTGTAGGAGAGGTAGGAAGAATCTTGTCTTGCGTGAGGAAGGGGAAGTGTGAGTGGGTGGGAAAGGGGGGCAGTGGGAAGTGGTTTCTTACATCTGGATGCAAATGTGATTGGGAAGTGTGGTGGGGCTTGGCCAGAGGGTTTGCAAGGAAGCAGTAGTTGGAGAGGTGGGGAGGGGAAACGGTTGGAGTTTTCAGGTTTAGGGGTTTTGTTTGGAGAGTCTACAATTATTTCCTACCTGTAGGTTGCTTTTTATTGTAAGCTGCTCTGAACCTTTTGGATAGGGTTGACTGTGCATCTAAATAATGATAAAAGCTCCTCCTGTATTGTAGTGGCAGCATGTTGGGAACCTCTTATCTCCCTTGTTTTTACATTGTGGTATGTTATAAGGCAGGGGTGCTCAACCTCCAGCCTACAGGCCACATCTTGCTACCCAGAAATGTCATCTGGCCTGCAGGGCTCCCCACGAATCCTGTGGGGAGCCTCATAGGCCATGATCTTGCATGCTAGATCAGACATTCAGGTCAATGCAGGACCTGATCCTGGCATGTGAAGGCTGGGTAAGGGCAGCGCAGGGCTCCAGAGCCTGATCCTAACTGGGGAGGGCTAGCACAATGGCAAGTATGGCAGAAGACCAGCTTGGCTTAGGGAACTCTTCAATAAACAAAATCACAAAAAGGAAACTTATATAAGAAGTGGAAACTTGGACCGATAACTAGGGAAGAATATAAGAGCATTACTTGGGCATGCAGGGATGAAGTCAGGAAGGCCAAAGCATAATTGGAGTTGCTGCTAGCAAGGGATGTGAATGGTAACAAGAAGGGTTTCTACAAGTATGTCAGTAGCAAAAGGAGGATCAGGGAAAGTGTAGGTCCTTTACTGAATGGGGGAGGCAACCTTGTGACAGAGGATGCAGAAAAGGCTGAAGCGCTCAATGCCTTTTTTTGCTTCAGTCTTCACAGGCAAGGTCAGCTCCCAGACTACTGCACCGGGCAGCACAGTTTGGGGAGGATGTGAGCAGCCCTCAGTGGTTAGGGACTACTTAGAAAAGCTGGATGTCTACAAGTCCGTGGGGCTGGACAGGATGCACCTGAGGGTACTGAGGGAGCTGGCTGATGTGATAGCAGAACTACTGGTCATCATCTTTGAGAACTCATGGTAATTGGGAGAGATCCTGGATAAATAGAAAAGAGCAAACATAGTGCCCATATTTAAGAAAGGGAGAAAGGATCTAGGGAACTACAGACCAGTCAGCCTCACCCCAGTCCCTGGAAAAATCATGGAGCAGATCCTCAAGGAATCCATTTCTAAGCACTTGGAGGAGAAGAAGGTGATTAGGAACAGTCAGCATGGATTCACCAGGGGGCAAGTCATGCCTGGATTGCCTTCTATGATGAGATGACTGGCTCTGTGGATGTGTGTAACAAGTGGGTATCCTGGGACTGGTCTGAACATTGGCCCACCTACTTGTTTCAGGGCAAACTGCTCTTCTGCCACGCCTTTAGTGTAACCAGTATAAAGTTGATAACAAGGCAGGAGGCTGCCCATTTACTTGCCCTGATGTCAAGGGCCTATATATACAGCTCTGAACCTCCCCTTATACCATGTCCCATGCCCCGCAGATGGGATCCATGGCCTAAGACCCGGCCTGTGATCCAGTGCCCACACACCAGGACCCTCACTCCAGTGCTTCATGTCGGGATTCTCACTCCTGTGCCCTCACACTATAGATTGCCATCTCTATGCCCTCATGTCAGGACTCTCAATCTCTGTGTCCTTGCACTGGGCTCTCAATCTCATTTACTCGAAGCTTTCAACCCCTCCCTTTTCTTCAGCTCCCTGCCTGGCTTAGGATCCTCTTTGTCCCCTCACACCTCCACACTGGGGCCTTAATCCCCTTGCCCAACACTGGGCCTCAATCCCCTTGCTCCTCCATGGGCTCAGGGCTGCCTCACACCCAGCTCCTTCATACACCTCAGGACTCGCTGTGAGCCTGGGCCCTTGCTTTGTCTTTGGGGTGTGCTACCCTAGCCTTTCCCCTCCAGAGGGTAACCTGCAAGGCAGCGGGGGCTGAGGCTTTCTGGTGTCCCATACTTGCCCTTCATTGGGGAGGCACAGGTATGACATTTCCTGGAGACTGCCCCGCCACTGGCAGTCCCACTACACCACCCAGGCCCAGCAGGGTGTAGTTTTAGGTCATGCCCCAGGACCAGTAGCCTCCACCTTCCCCATAGCTCCTGCGCTATACCTCCAGGGTGTTCTGAGCAGCAGCTCCAGCTGCGCGATGTTCCTTCTCTGGCTGCCTGCAGCAAACTGTTGGCTCTGCTATTTTTTATGTCTAGCAGCTGGGCCCGCTTCCCCAATCAGGTGGCTCTTGGCTGGCCATGTGATTCCTGATGGGGATTGCAGCCACCTGTAGGCTGTTCTGCTGCTAGCTCAGCCCCTTTGAGTAACAGAGCACAACTTGTGCTCTGTTACATGGTGGATGTGGTGTACCCTGATTTTAACAAGGCTTTTGATACAGTCTCTCACAACATTCTCTCAGGCAAGCTAAGGAAATATGGGCTGGATGAACGGACTGTAAGGTGGATAGAAAACTGTCTGGATCATCGGGCTCAGAGAGTAGTAATCAATGGCTTGATGTTTAGTTGGGAGCCAGTATTAAGTAGAATGCCCCTGGGGTTCGGTCCTGGGGCCAGTTTTGTTCAGTGTCTGGAACTACCTGAAAGATGGCATAAAGTGTACCCTCAGCAAATTTGCAGATGACACCAAGCTGGGGGGAGTAGTAGATATGCTGGAGGGTAGGGCTAGGATTCAACATGACCTAGACAGATTGGAGGATTGGGCCAAAAGGAATCTCATAAGGTTCAACAAGGACAAGTACAAAGTCTTGCTCTTAGGAGAGACCAATCCCATGCACCAGTAAAGGCTAGGGGCTAACTGGCTGGGCAGGAGCCCTGCAGAAAAGAACCTGAAGGTTAGAGTGGACAGTAAGCTGAATACGAGCCAGCAGTGTGCCCTTGTTGCCGAG